AGCAGGAGGCCCCCGGGGTTCTGAGACCCCTCCAGCGCCTCATAGTAAAACTCGCCGGCCCCCTGCAGGCCGTTCCCGTGCACCCTGCCCACGCCGTTCCCATTCATGGTGCCCGCCCGCCGCCTGCTACAGAGCCCGCGGCCCAGAGTCCATGCTCCCGCGCCGGGCGCGCGGCCAGTCTCTGCCCCACTGGGGGTCCGGGGGACTCTAGGACGGTAGGAGTTTCAAGGAGAGGGAAAAAAGAGTTACGGGGTGTCTGACCACCTGGGATGAGCAAGCGGGCACACCTGGCTGTGGCGAGAGGAGACAGAAGCAGCTCTAGACAAACAGGTCGGACAGTGTCGGGGGAGGGGTGGGAGGCGGAGCGCGGCCGGCGGGGGCAGGGCCCGGCCCTGCGGGGGCGGAGGCAAGAACTGCCAGCGCCTTCAGACCCGCCCATCAGGCCCCTAGTTGCCTAAGAATACAGGAGACCGGGAGGGGCCCCCAAAACAAAGTCTTGCTTCCCAAAGTTTGCAGGCTCTGCAAGGATGGCCGCTCTTGGGGTGACTCTGGGAGGTCCTTCTCCAGGACGTGGGCAGGCTTTGATCCCCAGCTCAGAAACAGAGAAAGAAGAAGATCCTCCAAGAGGCAAAGCCAGGCACTGTGCTAGGTGTTTGCTTTTGTTCCCTCATCTGTGGAACAGGCATTTATTGTCCTGGACATTTGTTTGGTACCATCACCTCCAGCGCCAGCAGGGCCCTCCTCAGTCAGGCCCCAGAAACACCCCCATGCCGGGCACATCTCCCAGATGCCATTCCTAGCTCTTGCTGGGCTTCAGCTTTTGTCACTTGCAGCCTACACTTCATTCGTTCGCTATTTATTTGGTAATACTGGTCTGAGGCGCAGGGCTAGGCAATGCCCATGCAGGGACGCCTCTGCAGGACAGCCCAGTGTAGTGCTGGAGACAAACGAGAGCACGGAGTGACACATGTGTGCATAGACATGGTGGCAGTCCTGGGTGGCATGTGTCATATCTGTGCAGGTATGGTGACAGTCCTGTTCAGACATGGTGACAGTTTTGGATGGCATGTGGCATGTGTACAAAATGGTGACAGTCCTGGGTGGCATGTGTCACATCTGCACATACTGGCGACAGGTCTGGGTGGCACATGTACACACACAAATATCATGACAGTTCTATAGGCTACGTGAATCCAAAACCAGGGTACCAGGAAACCTTCCCCAAAGAGATGACATTCTCCATAACCCACATCTTCTCTCTTCTCTGGTCTACAGAGGCACTGACGTATTTCTCAAGACAGCCTGAAGATCCAACTGGAAGGACAGCAGCCCCGGAGAAAATGAGAAGGGGTCACCAAAAGCTATGGCCACCACATGGGGGTCCTCGAAATGGTGCCGAGTTGGCTCAAAAGAATTATTTGGGGAGTGTTTGAAAAGCCCTGAGTTCTGGATCATATGTTTAAAGATTCTAATTCACTATGTCCTGGGAGGGGATTGGGAACCTGCATCTGTAAAATAAGGTCCCTGGGTGATCCTGTAAAACATGTGGCCAGGTTCAGGAACCTCCCCTCTGAAACTCTTTTTCCAGGGGCCAACCCCACCCCCACTGGGAGCACCACCTCTCCTCAGGTGGGAGTAGCCGGGACCTCTCCCACTGAACTGGGCAGGGCGGCCTGCGGGTCAGTGGCAATGACAAGGGTGGGATGCAAGAGCAAAGCCAGACAGGATGGGTGGCCTTGGGGTGTGTGGGTGACTCAGCCCCACGCCAGCCGCTGGTGGTGTCAGGTGGCAGCCGCACTCTGATTGCCATGACAACTCCTCCCCCGAACGCAGGGAGGCTGTCGGACGGGTTTGTTTGTGCTCAGAGGAGCCGAAGGGGAGAGCCCTGGCTGCAGGGAGGGGCAGCGGCTGAGGCAGGCGGAGAACGAACCCGGGAGAATGGGCGGCTGTGGAAACCGGCTGCGGGCGGAGGGAACCTGCTTCAGGGAACAGGTAGATGAAATAATGGGAGTGACAGGCGGCAAGTGGAAGGAACAGGTGGGGAGGGAGCGGTGAGCATAATGGACAGGCAGGGAGAACAGGTGTGGGAAACAGCAATGGAAATCAAGCAAGGCACACAGGGGATGGAAGTTGAGGGAGAGGTGGGTGGAGACAGAAGTGACAGCAACAGTAAGTGCAAAAGGATGAAGGGACGTGACTCAGGGCTGAGGCCAGAGAAGGAAGCTGTTTTAGCCATCTGAGCCAGTCCAGGGGTCATTTCGGCTTCTCTATGCTTGGGGAGAGGGGCTGGAGAATGTTCTGGATTGCATGAAGTTTGTTCTTGAGGCTGGATTTGGGGACCAGGGGCTTGACAGGGTGCTGTGGGTCTCCCACTTTAGTGCAGCCACTTAGAAAGTTAGTCTTCCCAGAAAGTCACAGGGCTCTTCACAAGCCTCCTCTGCATCTCCCTTGGCCCTCCCCTGACCTCACCTGCCAGAGCCTTAATGCGAGACCTCTCAAAGAGGCGGGCCGAGCTGCTGTCATTGTCCCAGTCTGAGTCCGGCAGGTCCCAGCGGTTGTTGATGTCGCTGTACTGGCCCTGGATCTCTAAGCTGTCAAAGTCCGTGGGCGACAGAGTGCTGCTCATGGTGGTGGGTGGCTTTCTGCTCCTGCAAGGAGAATGTGGCTGGTGAGGGGCGTCTAGGGGCCACCAAGTCCTCCACTCACCAGGTCCTTCTATCTTCCTGCCCTCACTCTGCTCTGTTCTCCTTGTGGCCAGAGGTTGTGGTTGTTTTGGGGGGTTTTTTGTCAGTGTAAATCAGCCCCCAGTGGGAAGGGGGAAGCCACCGTGGGGAAGCCAAGGGACAGGAATACAACAGAAGCACACAGAAGAAAGAGAAATTCTGCCAGTGGCCTGATTTCTGCTGGAGCTTCCATATCAACTCTTCCCTGGGTCTCCAGCCTGCCCTCCTCCATAATCACATCATTATCCAGCTGTTAGAGGTGGCTGATCATCTGCAGAGAGGGGAACTGCTTGCTGCAATACTCCGAAACCAGTAAATTTATGGAAACAGTTTACCTTATAAGTTATATAATGTCTTTCCTACCTATTTATATACCTAACATAAGCAGGTACTCAACAAATACTTGTTGAATACCTGGCATAGAAAAAAAATAGGAGCACATGGAGTGATGCAGGAGGGCAGCCATGTCTCAGCAACTGGGGACAGGGAAGTGGGGTGGGGGCTGAAAGGGTGGCCGCTGGGCACTTCAAGACAGGAGTGTGTAGCCCAAGGCAATGGAGGCAGCAGACACTGGCCCCCTCGGGCAATAATGAGCAGAAATTGGTGTTCTTTCATTGCCCAGTTCGACAAGCTGTTCCGAGCCCCTACTCAGCCCAGACGGCCTCCTATACCTTGTAGGCAATTTGAGATGAAAAGACCCGGATTCTGCTCTTGAGCTAAAACAAATCTCATACACCAGGAAGACTGATGTGCTATGAGGCAAGTATGGATAAAGGGCCCAGGAGCTAAAAGGGGGACACGGTACGGTTCTCTGCCCTTTGTTTCTCTCTGTTTGCTACGAGGAATATTTAGTAAGTGCTCAACACATGTCAGCTGTGATGTGGCCCTGCCATTTACATGCATTGCCTCAACACATCCCCGCTATGGGGTTAGGGTCGACCGTTGTCCCCATTTCATAAATTTCATAGATGAGGAAGCTGCACCGAAGAAGTTAAACCGCTGGTTCAAGGTTACACAGCTGGAAGGAGCAGCACTGGGTTTTGAAGTAAAGCCCGTTTGGACTCTGGCAGACAAGTTCTTAATCACAGCCTCTCAGAGAACATGTACAAGTTCCTTGACCATCCTGGAGCCCTTTCGTGCTCCCCTGGAGGGATCCGCACCCAGTGCTCCCTTCTAGGGCCCGAGCTGAGGAAATACGGACCATGTACACTTGCCAGCACTACTTAGGACTCCAAGTTACGCAAACACACTCTGTCATCGAACTAACAAATAAGGTTCAGATTAGCTGCTGGGGATTTGGAAAACCTCTACCATCCAAAGTTCTTGTGTAATTCAGCATTCAGCAGCCATTCAAGGGAATGGGAGGCAGGGGTGGAGCTGGGTCTGTAACTTTTATAAAACCCCAAATTCTGCTTTTCTCATTTTCCCAGTACCCCTCAAATACAAAGACATTTTAATCCTGAGCACTACTCCCTAGGGCCAGGGCTGTGATCTTGGCAGTTTCTGGTTCTGGAAAGGAAGAAGGTGTGATGAGCTTCTTGTGTGGTTTGGGCAAGGAAGAAGGGATGCGTGGTGAGACCCAGGTAGGCAGGGAGGCGTGTTCCCATGGGCACACAAAGGCAGAACTCAGCTTCTCTCATTAACTGGTTCCGTGAAGCTGAACCTGACCAGCTTGAAGGCCAGGGTTGTCCACCCCTACCCTTTCTCCCAAAGAAAAAAATGCACACAAAGATTTTCCTGGGAATAGCATTAATGAGATGCAAGGGAGCTAAGGTGTAAGGTTCCTAGATTTGGGCTTTTATTCCCTGTAGTAGGAAAGGGAGCTTAATTTCCACTAGGCCTAGGACTCCTTTCTTGTTCAAAATCCACCATTTCCCCCAACAGATTCTCTGAATTTGTTCTGTAAATATTTACATAAAAATAAATTCTAGGGCAGAGTTGAATCACTCTGAGCAAAGAGTGCTGTGGGCAAGGCATGACCGTAAGTAAAGTTACCTAATACTCTCAGCTGCTAGACGGAAAAGCAGTCTGTGCCTCAGGACCAAGTCTAATTCCACTTGTCTCTGCCCTTCAGATTAGGGCGTCCTAACCAGCAGCCACACTCTTGCTTAGCTCTGGGATTGACATTTCCAGCACTCAAACTTCCTGTACTTCCTTTATTTTCCTCAGTAAAACTCCTACGTCCAATGTCCCCTGACCTTTGGTTCCATGACCCCTTTTTCTTTTACTAGGAGTCACAAACCTACTAAGGCCAGCCCCCAGGAGTGTTTTCTTTGGCCAACAAGCTGTTTTACAATAACTGCTTTTGGATGGGCCTGCGCTTCCTATTTCTCTACAGGCCCCACCATTCCCTTTCGTCTCCTACCCAGCCACTTCACATGTCTACGTTACCTGCCAGGCCCCTGAAGACCTCTGAGGTTTTCAAACCCTGCGTTATACCTTGGACTCCACACAGAGCAGAAAGGTAAGGCAGCCAACCGTCTGACCCTGCCCCCCAACTACTGTATCCCTGAGGCCCCCATAAGTTACACAGAACCCAAATATGTACTGCTTTGGCTTCTTTTTGGTGATCCACCTGGGGTCCAGGCATGGGATTCAGACCTTCCAGGGAGGTCCAGCCGTTAGAACCTCTCTGTGGAATCCTATAATTCCTGGGAGAAAGCATGGAGCTGGAACCTCCCCCTCCCCTAAATAAAATTCAGCCATTTAAATGCTGTTCTCACCGAATCAAGTTTGAGGCATATATGATATGCGTCCTGAGTTTCCAGGGATGCTGTGATATAGATAAGGAACCCAGATGGCACGTCTGTCCTTAAATCACAGACGTGGCCCCATAGGGCCATGATGTCATGATTCCAGGGGCTTTATTCCCATAGACTTCCATGTGAGTGGTGCTGACCATGGTCAGCACTGTGTCCTGTGCTTTGGTTTCCAAGCATTCCGGCTCTGCAGTTCCCTGGCCTTTTGGACAATATGCTGCGTTCTCCGTCTGTGTTCCCTGACGCCACCTCCAGATTCCTACCGTTTTGTATTTGAGTTTCTCCTACATAGATCCTGCCCTGGTTCCTTTTCACTGAGCAGATCACTGCTCACCTATGACCTGGGTCTCCGTGCTCACACTTCCTTAGTCTACCAGCAGCCTCCCAGCAAGTCTCCAGCCTCATGACTCCCGTCTCTCTCGATGCTGGAGAATCCTCAACCTTATTCTCCTCCGTGGATTCCTGAAGTATGGCAATAGGGTGGCGCGGTAGCTAATCCAGATTACAGTTTCACCACTACCTTATTCTTAGCCACTGACCTCAAGGCCAGGCCCAAGTAGCTTACAGAGTCAGTGCCAGAATAATGCCAACCCCACAAGCTGCAGGCCTGGGGTCCCACCATAATCTACACCCAAGTGCTGCCCAAGCACTGCCGGATGGGGACTCAGCTCAGCCACGTGCCATGCTGTGCTGATCCCCAAGGGCAGCTGCCCCCCTCCCCTTTCCTCCGTTTTAGCTGGGTAATAAGCTAGAAATCCTATCCCCCAGGCTAGAGGCTGTCTTGTACCCTGATTCCTCCTCTCACCACATCCTGCCCCTGATTAATTCTTTTCCTCCCTCAGAGAGAGTCGATCATGCCCTCCTCTGTGCTCCCACGGCACTTCGGCAGCAGCTAGTATTGCACTTATCGCATCGTATTAAGGTTAGCTGTTTATGTGTCTCTCTGCCCGCTCCACTTTTAACTCATTGAGGACAAGGGCTGTGTCTTACTCCTTTTTGTGTTTTCTGGGCCCAGTACAATAGGTATTCAATAAAGAGATACTGAGTGAATTGACCATAATTCATTTTTTGGCTGTCAAATTAATATCTTTCTTAGGGCTAAAGAGAAGCTCAAGGAAAGAATGAAAATGGGGGCAAAAAAGACCTGCTCCTGAGCTGGGGTACTTTTGAAGTTGAGCTCTAGAGCTCAGGACCAGAAATTCTTAAACTTGCATGAATCACAGTGACCTGGAGGGCTGTTAAATCAAAGATCACTGAGCCCTGTCCCCAGAGTTCGATTTAGTAGCTCTGGGGTGGTGTCTGGGAATTTGCATTTCTAACCCATTCCCAGGTGACACTAAAGCCACTGGTCTGGGGACTACACTTTGAGGGCCACCACTGTCCAAAGATGAGAAGCATATGGAATTGGTTACAGGAGCTATGAGGACTGATAAGACACAGGTTTCAGGGGTGAGTGTGACCCTGGGTTACCTTCTAGGTTTATGATTAAACTTAAATATCACTTGTCCTCAGGAGCCTCAGGTGATGACGGAGGAAGATGAAGGTGGAGTGGGCACTAGAGCTAATGAAAGAAACAGAGCTGATGCCCCAGAACAGTGAATCGCAGCTGATGGAAGATGTTGGGGCTGGAGAAGCTACGGGAAGACAGAGCTGAATAAATGACAGCAGGATGAAAGACAGATTAGAAGAAATGGGGACTTTGGCAAAGTAAAAATCTTACTTGCCTCAAAGTATAAATGGGTGGACTAGCGGAGAGATAAAAAGAAAAAGAAATCACAAATAAACTCAGAGCTCCTAGGAAGGCAAGAGAAAGATGCTCCCAGGGCAGAGAACAGGAGAAGGCAGGAAAAACAAAACCCCAACCAAGGCTCCGGCTATGTTCCTGATAAAGCACAGGACTCCCCTCCAAGGAATTTAGGAACAGGGCTGAAGAGGTGGATGAATTTTCCATTCTCTGCTTTAGAAACCTTCTCTTAGGGCAGAATTATTCTGACTAATTTTCACTGCCTTGCTACCTGACTTCCACCAGCCTAGGGTTACATCAGTTTCTCCCAAGGACAACTCTAAACTCCATCTTACTTTCTCTTTGCCTAATTCTTTGCTCTTCTGAATATGCCAAGAGGTTGCCCCACACCTCAAGCTAAGACACAGATTTGGAACTCACTCTGTCCTCCTCACCCTCAAGGAAACCAGGTTTGTGGATACCCTACCCCTGCCTGCACCCTCCCAGCTCTCCGCGCTGGAACTGTGGCTGTCCCGGAGTGGGCAGGCAGCCGAGAAACAGCCCACGTACGACACGCGGCGGGCTAAGCAGCGGCAAGCCTGCATGTCAGACGTGCAGCGTCATGGGGTTAACGGGGTAAAGCCGTTCCGAGGCGGAGCGGATGGTAAATACCAACTGTGCCGCCGGAGTTGGAACAGACACCCTACGAGCAGGCAGGAGTAGGCCTCGCTCCACAGGGGCGGACTCCACAGCCCGGTACACGTCCGGGCCACGGAAACACCTTACACAACGCCACCCGGCGCCCGGAGGGTCTTGGTTCACCCTCTGCCGGAGGTACGGCCACCACAGCCGAGCGCGTCTGCCTCTCGCACACACGAGGGAGCGGAAGGGACGGCGCGGCGCGGGCTACCGGAGGCGAGGGGAAGCCCACGCGGCTGCAGAGAGCTCCCAACGCGCTTGCAGGGGCCCGGCCGAAACAGCCGAGCGCGTCCCCAGCACCGGGACCGGCGCCGGCGGGTCCGCCGCGCAGCCCCAGCGACGCCACGGCCGGCGCTGTCAGACAGGCTCCCAGCCCGCGAGACCCGATCCGTCACGGCGCTTGTCAGCCCAACTCTTCCAGACTCTTCTCTCGGCCCCAGGAAGGCCCGCCTCCCCCAAGCCTCGACCCCCCACGGCCCTCACACTGGTACCTGGGAGGCTGGCACAGGACTCTCTCCACGCTGTCCCCGGGACCCGGTGGGAGCGAGGGCCGGGCGCCGCATCCTCCCTCTCCGGCTCACCCCGGCGGGCCCGGCCCCGACCCCGACCCCGACCCGGCGCCCGCACGCGGCTGCACAAAGCGCGCCGCCCAGCCGGCCGGGACAAAGCGGGCGGGGGCGCCGGCACCTACCTCGGTGCGGAGCGCCGGCCCGGCAGGCGGGAGCGCGGCAAGCGGGGGCGCACTGGTCGTCGCCGCGCCCGCAGCCCGGCAGTGAGGGGCGGTTGCGGGCGGCGGCGGGTGGCCGGGCGGCGGCGGGGCGCGTGGCGGCGGCGCGCGGGCGCGAGCGGCGGGACTGCGGCGCCGCGGAAGGAGGACAATAGCCTCCCCCTGCCACAGGCCGCCGGCTCCCGCGGGAGGCCGGGGACCATCTGGAGCCGGCGGCCCCGCGGGGCTCGGGGCGGGGCCTGCGTCACCCCTTCTCCGCCTGGCGCCATGGCAACCGCGGCCCCTCTCGGCTCTCCCCACAGCTCCCGGGGCCGGGGTCGCTGACATTCCCCGGGGCGAACGCGGCGGCAGCTCCGCGGCCCGCTCCCGACCCCCCACCACCTGCAGTGTGGCTTCCCACCATAACCCCGCCTTCCGGTCCTCACTAGCCCCGGGTCACCCCTTGGGCGCCTGGATGTACCCCCACAGCTTGCGGGGCTCGGTCTCCCTAGTCTGGACACCTCACCTTTGTCCACCTTTTCGTCCAAAATCTGTATCCCCGAGACACGCAATCCTTCCTTTAATGGCACTCACCGCCGAAAACGTTTCCCGAGGTTCAGCCTCTGTTTTCCTTTTCAAGATTTCCTCTTCAGGCACCTCCAGTCCCTCTCCCTTAAGCGTTTCTCTCATCCGTCCCCTCGCTCTCCGGGCCTCCTCCAGGCAGGTGGGCTGGTTCTCTTTCCCGAAGCGTCTCCATGGTACATGTGCAGATTCGCCGTCTCACAAACCAGATTCTCAGCTCCTCTCATTTATCAACCAGGAGAATTCCGGCCTAGTCACTGTCTTGAGGGGGGTGGGGGCGGGGATGGACATTTCTAGGCCTGGCACGGCTGGGTTTCTCCTTGGTTTATTAGCATCTGAGTGGTCTAAGTTCTAAAGTCATTAACCAAGGTGAACTCTCTGCTTAGGAGAGCAAGGAATTATGCTCCAATCATAACAAACTTGCGGAGTGCCAGGTGGGAGCTAAAAGTGCATTATCTCGTGTCCCCCCCACAGCACTCCAGCTGTGAGAGGTAGGTACTGTTTTCCAGACTAGAAAACTAAGCTCAGAGATGAGCTAGTCATAACAGGGTGGGCTTTGTAGAGAGCCGTTAGGTTATGTGCTGCCTCTGAAGATGGGGCCCATTCCTACCTGGGGAATGCCTGAAATGGCCAAGTCAGGACACTGGAAGAATGAGCTTTGAATGAATTATTGGGCTTAAGGTTTTATAACAGCTTTATGGGTAATTGAATTTAAGGATTTTGCTCCTTGTATGCATACTCAAACAGATATATGTAATTGAAGTACCTTCCAGATATGATTTTGGTGAGGTGAAATCACTTGTGTTAAATGCACTTGAAAACATTTTCAAGGTAAAAAAAAAAAAAAAAAGTCCTGCTACCAACCCTAACTAGTTGTGTCATCTCATCTACCTGGCTTCAGTTTTCCTAGTCTATAAAATGGGATGGGAAGAGGTTGGGGAGTTGCACTAAAAGATTACTGTGAAATTCTCTTCTAGGTCTGATATTTGTGTTTCTATCACTAAACTGTAATTCACCCTTCTGGGGTGCACCTCACAGTTAGCTATAATTAGGCTATTTATTATTATTTTAACAATTACTCTTTCAGGCAACAGAATCAAAGCAGCAGCGGCATAAGCTGCAACTCTTCCCAAGGCAGGAGTGTGTGTCGATAGGTTTGGGCAGAAGGAGGCACCAGTGTGTCCATAATGGTCCAGGGAGGCTTGGTCAGGGAACTTAAAGCTGATGGGATGAGAATCAGCTGATCTGCCAAGGGAACTGGAGCTACCAAACTGCTGCTGTTGTCCTGGCTATGGAACGAAGGGTCTCAGTGGCAGCTTATTAGATTATGACCCAATTAGAAGTCAAGGATATTAGGTCTTATGATTAGCATAATAATATCTTTCGTAGAGTCATTTTCCATATTCAGTACTTCATAATCCTTCGAAAAGCCCTGTAAGGTAAACATTCTCACTCTCATTTTATTGATGAGCAAACTGATGTTCAGGCACCTAAGTGAAAGCCCAAATTCACAGAGTTAGTTCATGATAGAACCTCCAGGTCTTCTGATTCCTGATATGTTCTTTCTCCTCTGCTAGAGAGAGAGTATAGCAGAATGGTTAAAAGCATTGATTTTGGAGTCAGACTCCCTAAGCTTAAAACCTAGTTCTGCCACCTGCTACACATAGTAAGCACTCAACTAGTCAGCCATTATTATTTTACCATATTATTATTTTGCCATGCTGCTTCCCAATTTGGAGAGGAAGCTCAATAAAGAGAACACTGAGATTGCTTGTCTCAGATCAGTGACTGCGTTGCTTTGGAAACTTATTATTTTGCTCTCTAGTGAATCAGTATAGTCAATGATGAAGAAAACGGCTGCTTCCTTTTTACTTGAGTTACAAAAGTGAATGGAATGATGTCCACCAAGTTTGCTAAGCTTCACAGAGAATCCAGATTTGCTGCTTGCATGACCAAGGTTCATGGGAAGGTCTTGGGTCCTGCCACCGAAGCTATAGGCGTAGCTGAATTTTCAGCACTTGTTTTTCTGCCAGGGAAGTGGTGTCCCTCCTTCCATCTGAGGTGGATTCTTCTGGCTCCTGCTGTAAGTCTCAGCCCCTCCCGCAGCCTCATGGCCCTCACTCCTGGTGAGCTCTCTCTCTGCTGGCTCCTTCCCAGAAGCACTTAAACATGCTCAAGTATCTGCCAACTTACAAAAATAAGTAAGAAATCCTGCTCCCCTCCACGTATTGCCCTTGCTCTTTATGCCCACAGTCTTCCTGAGTCATCTGCACTCATTGGTTCCACTTCCTTGTCTCCATTCAGTCATTCAAAAATGGAACGGCTTACTGTGTGCCAGGCACAGTGCTAGGATCTGGGGATATAATGACGAGTAAAATGGACACTGTCTCTGTTCTGGAAGAGCCTCTGGTGGGGGCGACAGACATTAATAAAGTAACCCCTCATATATATAACCACGAAGTATAATGAGTGTTATGAATGAAAAGTTCAGGATGCTATGAGAGAATCTGACAGAGCTGTAACCTGGGTAGGGAGTGGTGGGGGGAGACCTCCCTCAGATCATGTGAGCTGAGAGCTGAAATGTGAGAAGCATTAATCAGACAGAGAATGGGGAATAATAACAGCAGTTACTAACATTAGTTGGGGGCTATATTTCTAGCATTCTACACGTATCATTTTATTTAATTCGTATAACAACTCTGAGAGGTAAGTATTAACTCCATTTCACAGATAAGGAAATGGGTACATTGAGAGATTAAGTACCTTACCCAAATCATGGAACTAGGCAGGGGTGGAGCTGGGATTCTAACCCAATCTGACACTTGAGCCCAAGTTTTTTGCCACAGTGTGTGTGGATGCCAGGCCCGATGTTGCAGGATACATGGAGCATATATGACATGGAGAGAAGGCCAGTGTGCAGGGCACGAAGGGATGCATAGTGAATTGTGGCTGGGGAGACAGGCAAGGGCTAGATCATGCAGAGCTATGTCATTTAAGGAAATTCTATTTTCACCTTTAGGGCCCTGAGAGAGTATTGCGAGGTTG